TGAAGACTTGCCATGCAAATTAACAAATTAATGTGAGCATTTACGGTGGTCGTGTTTGATTGATTGAAGTTACGAAAGGAGGCACTCGAAGAAACAATGGAAAAAAGAATGAAAGGTTTATTCTCGGGAAAAAACTGGCTAAGCTAGGTCAAACCACAAAAGCGTATGTAGAGTATTTAAGGCCAATAAAACTAAAAAAAATTATTCACTCTTGCCTTTTGCCTATCTACGTCGTTAATAGGCGTATCTACAGACTTGGCCACTCAATTAGCAAAGATAGGAGACATGTCGGGCGGGTTGGTCACTTCATGACAATTAAAGGTGTAGGGTACAAGGAATGCCTTACGCTTTGTAAGCCGAGCAGAAAGGCGATCTCACTGTCCACTCCTCTGCCAATCCAAACACCAAGTAGTGCTTGCTCTACTGACACAGATATAGGCCTCTGCAGTATAACAAGATGAATGAAAACTTAGCATTGTTGTACTATCAACTGGAAACAGATGGTGAATTCGATAAACCGTGCTACTGTGTGACCAGTGAATAAATGATCCTAATATAAAAAATGCATCGGGTAGGGCTTAAGACTTCAAAATATTTTACGTACATGTGCATGTGGATAGGTCGACGCAATTGGTTGGAAGTGGTTCTGCAAAGCTATGTGTTAACTATAGAGTTAGAGAACGTAAAAATTAGGGCTAATTTTTTCACGCTTACGGCGGGATATCTGGCATCACAGTCATCAATTGAAAGGGCAAAGCAAAGCACTTTTTTCCTCGCATATCTTAAGTTCATTATTTGGTGTCATCAATAAAAGCTCTATTTACCTATACACTCAGTATCCATCCGCATCGCCATCCATCCTATTTACATCCATCCCACCATCCATCCTTCCGCCAATTGCTCAAATTTTTCTTAAAGCTCTGACACTGCTGACCATCTAAAAGGAATCTCATTGAACGCATGTGTAAACATATGGAAGAGGAGTATGTAATCTGTCTGTGGCAATTAAATGGCCTTTCATATGTTAACAAAAGTACCATGGGCATGGATTTTAGTCAAGGTGAATTTTACTATCTGTCCAAACAAATACATGACCTAATGTGGTTGGTATTTTTGGCCAAAGGGAAGAAGACGACGACTGGACAGAACGAAGAGAATACGGATTACTAATGTGTCAGCCATGGTGAGTGTGAACTCACGCACTAGATTCGCTATGCTTCTGGTCTAACAGAGGTGCTGGAAGGTAATCATGTTCATTGAAATTGGTGAAATTAACTAATGGAAAGGACTAGAAGCGGTGCCCGAAAAGATGCACTTAGAAGAGACAGTGTTGGTGTGAAACACATCCATTAGGGATTAAGGGGCAGGAAAGGGTAGGAGGGAAGAGAAGGAAAGTGAGTGTAAGTCCATTGGTAGTTGACGTTTGATGTAGGCCCTTGTGGATAACTGACGATCAGGGTATCCTGCGCCTTCACTTTTACCAGCACTTGTGTATTCGCTTTTCCTGTCACCTCATTCTCTTTCTTCCCTTTCAGCTCTGTATGTGTTGCTCCATTGCTCTCTTCTTACTGTCCTGTGGATTCCACTTGTCACTTCTCAGTCAGAACGGCCTGTCTGTGGCACTGGTGGGGTAAAGTTCTTGGGTAACCACGAAGACGAAAGCCAACACATGCAATGCTGCTACTTGGTAACATATCGTTCTGGTCGACCACGGAAGGCGAGAATACGTAACGGTGAACATCCTTAACATATTGACTGTCTACTGAGTATTAGTGTTCATTGGCGACTCCCACAAGCGTAGAACGTGGGCTTCGGTCAGTAAAAACAAGTGCAACTACCTAGTCTGCCACATCACTTCTAATATGACAAAATGCTAGCACTGGAATTCGGCCTCCTTTTCCAATTTGAAGACTTGCCATGCAAATTAACAAATTAATGTGAGCATTTACGGTGGTCGTGTTTGATTGATTGAAGTTACGAAAGGAGGCACTCGAAGAAACAATGGAAAAAAGAATGAAAGGTTTATTCTCGGGAAAAAACTGGCTAAGCTAGGTCAAACCACAAAAGCGTATGTAGAGTATTTAAGGCCAATAAAACTAAAAAAAATTATTCACTCTTGCCTTTTGCCTATCTACGTCGTTAATAGGCGTATCTACAGACTTGGCCACTCAATTAGCAAAGATAGGAGACATGTCGGGCGGGTTGGTCACTTCATGACAATTAAAGGTGTAGGGTACAAGGAATGCCTTACGCTTTGTAAGCCGAGCAGAAAGGCGATCTCACTGTCCACTCCTCTGCCAATCCAAACACCAAGTAGTGCTTGCTCTACTGACACAGATATAGGCCTCTGCAGTATAACAAGATGAATGAAAACTTAGCATTGTTGTACTATCAACTGGAAACAGATGGTGAATTCGATAAACCGTGCTACTGTGTGACCAGTGAATAAATGATCCTAATATAAAAAATGCATCGGGTAGGGCTTAAGACTTCAAAATATTTTACGTACATGTGCATGTGGATAGGTCGACGCAATTGGTTGGAAGTGGTTCTGCAAAGCTATGTGTTAACTATAGAGTTAGAGAACGTAAAAATTAGGGCTAATTTTTTCACGCTTACGGCGGGATATCTGGCATCACAGTCATCAATTGAAAGGGCAAAGCAAAGCACTTTTTTCCTCGCATATCTTAAGTTCATTATTTGGTGTCATCAATAAAAGCTCTATTTACCTATACACTCAGTATCCATCCGCATCGCCATCCATCCTATTTACATCCATCCCACCATCCATCCTTCCGCCAATTGCTCAAATTTTTCTTAAAGCTCTGACACTGCTGACCATCTAAAAGGAATCTCATTGAACGCATGTGTAAACATATGGAAGAGGAGTATGTAATCTGTCTGTGGCAATTAAATGGCCTTTCATATGTTAACAAAAGTACCATGGGCATGGATTTTAGTCAAGGTGAATTTTACTATCTGTCCAAACAAATACATGACCTAATGTGGTTGGTATTTTTGGCCAAAGGGAAGAAGACGACGACTGGACAGAACGAAGAGAATACGGATTACTAATGTGTCAGCCATGGTGAGTGTGAACTCACGCACTAGATTCGCTATGCTTCTGGTCTAACAGAGGTGCTGGAAGGTAATCATGTTCATTGAAATTGGTGAAATTAACTAATGGAAAGGACTAGAAGCGGTGCCCGAAAAGATGCACTTAGAAGAGACAGTGTTGGTGTGAAACACATCCATTAGGGATTAAGGGGCAGGAAAGGGTAGGAGGGAAGAGAAGGAAAGTGAGTGTAAGTCCATTGGTAGTTGACGTTTGATGTAGGCCCTTGTGGATAACTGACGATCAGGGTATCCTGCGCCTTCACTTTTACCAGCACTTGTGTATTCGCTTTTCCTGTCACCTCATTCTCTTTCTTCCCTTTCAGCTCTGTATGTGTTGCTCCATTGCTCTCTTCTTACTGTCCTGTGGATTCCACTTGTCACTTCTCAGTCAGAACGGCCTGTCTGTGGCACTGGTGGGGTAAAGTTCTTGGGTAACCACGAAGACGAAAGCCAACACATGCAATGCTGCTACTTGGTAACATATCGTTCTGGTCGACCACGGAAGGCGAGAATACGTAACGGTGAACATCCTTAACATATTGACTGTCTACTGAGTATTAGTGTTCATTGGCGACTCCCACAAGCGTAGAACGTGGGCTTCGGTCAGTAAAAACAAGTGCAACTACCTAGTCTGCCACATCACTTCTAATATGACAAAATGCTAGCACTGGAATTCGGCCTCCTTTTCCAATTGTACAGTGCTTCCTCCTCTGCCTCAAATTTGTATTTGAGACGAAATGAAGTATAAAGAATACCACATTTGTTATCATAGAGGCTCCTAATTTCGAACACACTAAACACTTTGTCCGTTCACACACTTCAC